GAACATGTTCATGTGGGAGATCCATGTGTCGTCTGTGCGTTGTATGAGATTTTCACTGCCCTGAGTGTCGCATCAACAGATTTGCGGAAAGAAGCAGTTGCCCCTACATCTCTGAGGATAGCTCTGAGCAATTTGTACCCAGATAGTAATTTCTTCCAGGAGGTAAATTCATGGAATTATGTTTGCACCCTCTTCATTATTAAAAGTTTTACTTACTGAATATTGATCTTTCCCTCCTGATTATCATTACACTTTGATTATGAATTTAGATGCACCTATTTCTTTTGTTGAAAGTTGTGACTAAAATGGCAGCAATTGACAGGCTCAGATGAATGATGCTTCTGAAGTTCTGGCAGTAATATTTGATTGCCTCCATCGGTCATTTACTCCTGGTTCTAGGGTTTCAGATACTGAATCAGTGGAAAGCAGTTGCCCTAAGACTTGGGATTGTACAAACGGTGCTTGTATTGTCCATTCCCTTTTTGGAATGGACATTTTTGAACGAATGAACTGCTATAATTGTGGTTTAGAATCCAGGCATCTGAAATACACTTCATTCTTTCATAACATAAACGCTAGTGCCCTCCGAACAATGAAGGTATCTTATACATGAAGATTAATTTTTTTTCAGTTCACTTTTTTTTTTTTTTAATGATGAAGAGTTTGGGGAATTTGTTATTCCGTGTCTGGTTCAAGAAATATTTTCCCTGTTCCTCATTTACATTTTTTCTTTTTTGGCCATTCAGTCTATGTGTGCAGAGAGCCCCTTAGACGAGCTTTTGAATCTTGTAGAGATGAATCATCAGTTAGCTTGTGATCCAGAGGCTGGTGGCTGTGGGAAGCTCAATTACATTCATCACATTCTGTCAACTCCACCACATGTTTTCACGACAGGTGATTTCTGTGAGGTTCTTTACTTCATTTATTAGGAGTGCATTTTATAGGAGCTAATGTTGATGGTTATCTTTGGTTTTGCAGTTTTGGGTTGGCAGAACACATGTGAGAGTGCTGATGATATAACTGCAACACTGGCAGCACTAAGTACTGAGATTGATATCAGTGTCCTTTACCGTGGGCTGGATCCAAAGAGCTCACATAGCTTGGTTTCAGTGGTATGTATACTTGAATTAACCTTGACAGTAAATATTTTCATGAAGAGAATATAATGATCTTGTCTTGGCTGTAAATTTGGAAGGATGGGCTTGGCTCTTCTAGTATATGTGGAAGGAAAATTATATCGTTTGTTTTGTTTTGTTTTTGTATTTTTTTTCTGGGTGCTAGGATAGTTGACTTCTCTATGGTGAGGGTAAGAGAATAGGAGGTAATAGCAGAGTGGGAGCTAATGAATTGATATAAGCAAATACCCTGAGCAGTGCCTTCTAGGCAGACTGTCCAAGAGTTATATTGAATAAATGCATACTAGTTGGAAATTGGTACATTTTTGAATCTCATCGTAAAGTCTTGTATCATCATTTGCTGGCCAGTAATATATAAAAATTAAAAGGGGAAAAAAAGAAAAAGGAAAAATAAATTTTAAGAGGGAATTATGAAGCCCGAGACTTTAATCATAGAGCGTGAATGACAAAAATGTTTCCTCATTCTTTTTCTTTGGAATGGCCCATCAGAGAAAGGTTTATTAATTTCCAGTTTTAATGCCAATAACTTAGGGGTTCTCTCTCTCTCTCTCTTTAAATATTGATACCAGAACTATATGGGAATTTACAAATAAAATGAACACTGTCCACAAAAGACAAGATTAACTTGGAAAAATATCTTCATGATCCAGACACCAATTCTGACATATCTATTTGTTGCTTTTGCAATATAGGTTTGTTACTACGGGCAACATTATCATTGCTTTGCCTATAGTCATGACCATGAACGGTGGATTATGTATGATGACAAAACTGTCAAGGTATGATCACCTTTTATTTTGAACAATGTCATGTAAAAGGTACTGCTTTTCCTGTGTTATGACTAGCATTTGGTGTTCAGGTGATTGGTAGCTGGGCTGATGTTCTTGACATGTGTGAAAGAGGACACTTGCAGCCTCAGGTTCTTTTCTTTGAAGCTGTGAATTAGATATGTTATGGTATTTTATCTCAATTATTTGCTGCAAAGGGGAAGCATCATTTTTGTCGTTACCTGGCGCCCAATAATTGTCTCTGATGGGACGTTGTTTATAGAGATGTATTACGCCCTACATCCATGCAGTTCAGACAGCGATATTGGTTTCAGAAGAAGTCAAAAAGTTTTGATAAAAAATTCAGAAGTGTGGTGTAAATCAAGTTTCAAGAGTTTTGTGATGATATAAGTAAAGAATTTTGTAGGAGAAAGGGTTGTTTTCAGAGGGAACAATGTGTCAAAAAGGAGATTCCTTTTTATGTTGAGGGAAGGAGATAATAGAGTAGCCTGACATGGTAGTGTTTGGTGCCATTGCCCCCGAATATTTTTCTTGGATGCCTCGATGTCGATTAATAAGATTGGTCTGGTGTAAGGGAAAAGAACGTAAATAGCGGCGGGTCAGGAATGAATTGAAGGAGCATGTAATGCTGTTGCCAGGAGCTGAGCATACTTGTAAGTGGGGAATTTAGTTTAATTAGAAATCAAAGTCTCTATTAGATGTTTCCTTTTTTCGGTTAGAAATATTTTTCCCCCAATTTAATGTTGTGTATAGATATCACATCATGGCCCCCTCGGGACCTCAACTCTTTGTACCCCAGCATAGAGTAAAAGTTATTATTATGATGATGCTGTTGAGGCTTGAGGGTTGAAATTTTGAAAATCAGAATATTGAGAAATTTGAATGGTGAATGAAAACCTGGGTAGGAAGGGATATGGGCTTGTTTTTTAATTTAAGTTTTTGCCATAATCAGAATCCATTGTAGTTGGAAAATATTTTAAGCAATTTTTTTTTCATATCATAGGAAAATTTGTTTACTCTTACTAGAAGCACGTCAAAATGGTGTTATATATAATTAACTTCTCACAATGATGGAATTATGATAAATCAATAATAAAAAATAATATAAGCATTTGATTACCATTACCAGTGTTTTAAAACCTAGCCGGTTGAATCGGTTCAATTGGGACCTCGGGCTTTTATCGGGCCAAGTTACCAACTTTCTTATTCACTCAAAACTCTAGATATTAGGTTGATGATTAGCGAACAATTGAAGTTTGAGTTGTTGGGGCTTTTGAAGAGGAGTGGTTGGTGATACTGAGTGCAATGGTGGCAATGGATGTAATTTCTGGTGAGTGGATCGATTTAAAATAAAGAAAATGGGCAACGGCAACAATTGGTTTTTGTTGGCGATTGGCAAGGCGAACGGGGATGAGATGAGATGAGTTTTGGTAAGGAGGCTGAGGGGAGTAATTTCATGGTGATGGAGAGGGTTATTGACGTTGGCGGTGGTGAGATTTGGTCTAGGTTGTCGACGTTGGCGTTGGTGAGATTAGGCCAAAATCGAAATCTTGGGTAGATTTTATGGAGAATGGGCTCAAGGGATGATTGGGATTACATTTGGTGTGTCATCATCGTCAACTAGTCGATTTTAGATTTATATTTGGGGTGTGTTTGCTAAATTTTAAACCTGTAAGAATTTCATTGTAATTTTTAGGGGTGTATTTATTGAATTTTAAACTTTTTGACACTCGGTTTGATCGGCCAGTCAAACCAGTCAAACCGGTCAATCTTGGACCTAGCAACTTTGGTGGGTTTCATTCTAGACTGGTTATTAAAACATTGACCATTGCTACGAGTCTATGACGTGAAATTGGATTACAGTGGGCGCATGTCTTTGAAGTTCGAAACGATTAGCCAATTAAAAAGAGAGAAATATTGGCAAATGATTTAGAAATTAATGTAAAACTTCAGCCAGATACATATAGCATACCTTTTATAATGGGAGTCATTTGAAGGAGGTTTTTAATATTAAGTCCAAAAGTATCAATTGTTAAGGCTCCATTTGTTACACTCTTGGGAATACTATTATTAGTATTCCCAATAAAGTTAAAACAGTAAAATTGACTTATTCTCAAAATATTATTCTATATTATTCAATTTCTTTTAAACTCCCTCAAATTTGTTAATTTAACTAAATACCTCCAAATATTCTTTTTTAGAAATTATTAAAACACCATAGCAACCCACATGTACCAGATTCCGGCCACCACTGTCGGAAGCTGGCCGGAATTTGGTATAATGGCGCACTACCAACTGAATCTGGCTGATAGTGCGTCGATCTAGCATTTTCCGACCAAATCCACAGTGGATTTGGTCGAAAGAGGCTAGATCTACGGCCAAAGATTTGACCGTTGATGGCAAGATCTTTGGTTGTAGCCAGTCGTCAACGACGGCCAAGATATGGTCGTCGTTGACCTTCAATGATGCTGTATCTTTGGCTGTCGTTGATGACCAAATGCGGCCAGATTTGGCATTTTCTAGCCAGATCCATCGTGGATCTGGCCGGAAAAGGCCATATCAACGCATGATCGGCAAGATCCAGCCAGTCATACGTCGATAAGGCGACTCCGACCACCCTCTGGCGGTGGTGGCCGGCTGTTCCTATTTAATGGGTGAGTTGAGGGTGTTTTTGTTACCTTTTAATATTATATTATATGGGTGTTTAGTAAATAAACAAACATAGAGGGTATTTTTGTTAATTTCCAAATCTTACATCGTAATATCCGCCCAATTTAACTTTTTTTTTTTTTCAAAATATTATTCTAAAAAGTATCAGAATAATGAACCAAATGGACCCTAAATTCTTTAGTTAAGTAATTTACATGTTAGGAATTGCAAATTATCCCAAAAATATTAGAAAATATAATTTAAAGTTATAATTTAAAATGTAGTAATGCACACGTTGGTTATTGTTGTGACAGTATTTGTATCAGGAGTCTAATCCGATTTCCCATTATCAGGAAGTGACCCACATAGGAAACACCCCCGATAGTTTCGGTTCAGTTTTCTTTTAGTTTTACTAAGTCTCTTCACATCCAGTAAATCCGCTCATATCAGACCAGATCAAAGTGCTGATTGTGCTGTGTTTACCCCATATCAGTTTCAACCACATCACCTCTCTCTTATATCTTCTTCTTCTTCTTCTTCATCTTCCCATATCATTATTATTTATTCTACAATCTTCACCTTTGCTCAGACTTTTGAATGTTACAAATATGACCCTTAAGGGTGGCACCAGCCAAGCCTGTGCTGCGTGCAAGTACCAACGACGAAAGTGCCATGCTAAGTGCCCTTTAGCTCCATATTTTCCTCCTGACCAACCTAAAATGTTTGCAAATGCTCATAAATTATTCGGTGTTGCCAATATTTTAAAGATTTTAAAGAATTTAGACGCTGATCAGAAGGCTGAAGCAATGCGTTCCATTATTTACCAGTCTGATATTCGTGATCGGTATCCCGTTCATGGATGTTGGGGCATTATTTGTCAACTACGTTACAGAATTTGGCAGGCCGAAGAAGAACTTCAAACTGTTCATGCACAACTCGAGATGTATAGACATCATTATCAACAACAGGTCACATCTATGACGGATGATGTGTCACAACTTGAATTAGGCATGGCTCCTCCCAATAATTCCCTTTCACTTTTCAGTCATACTCCACAGCTGCCGGCTTCTTATAATAATGCTCCGCCTTTGCCTCTTTCTCAACACCACCACTCTTATTCTGATAACAACAACTCTACAAGTTACATGGATTCCAAAGATAATGTTGCTAATTCCATGTGGATTCAACATCAATATGCTACTGCAACCAACAACAATTCCAATTCCATCGCCGTTCAATCTCATCAGTTGGCTGCCTCTCAACCTTTGGTTGTTCATGATTACGATGAGATGCATCCGTTTTTCGATACTATTGATGACAGACAATCATACATTTATTCTAAAGAGGCTTACGACTCAAGGTAGTTGATTGATTAACTTCTTAATCCGAATCATTCTTGTTGTTTCGGTTTCATTGTTGTTTTGATTCTGAAATTGATGGTGGAAATAACTGTTTTGCAGTTCGGAAGAATCGTTGAAAGACACAACCCAATCGATCGAGGACGTTGCAGAAAATGAATTGAAGAGTGCGGCTGCAGGCTTCAGTCTGATTAGTGTCAATTGATCAAAAAGGCCAGACGACAAGACAGCAGTGCGTTCCATATTCTTTTTCTGCTCAATTCATAAAAGTTTTATAGGTTAGATTCCACAATTCTGGGCATATTTTTTCTTTTTATTCCATAGACAATGTAGTTCTTTGTTAATCATTTACTTATAAAATTTACATTCTACAGTTTCTTTTATTTAGAATTATAATAAAATATTGCAGAGTTTCAATATGAAGATGGAATCATCGAACGAATAGAATAGCCATTGTTGTTCTGGACAATTGCTTTCTTGGTAGCAATTAGAAAACCAATTACAGATAAATTTCAGACTTAAATCACATTAAACATAACAACTAAGATTATTCGAAAGATTAGCAGTAGAGTGCTTTCTCTCAATTACAAGTGGAAGAAATTGGATTTCACATAAGTTCATCTTTTTCAACATACTTGCTCAATTAAGGCGCAATTTATTCACACACCATTAAGCACATTCAGAGAAGCCTAGTTTTTTTTTTTTTTTTTGTTGTGATCAGGGGTGTCCGAACTAGCTTATACGCATCTCAATTAATCCCCTGGAGTCCTGAAGTGAATGACTGGATAAATCTCTTTTAGTAACCACATCTATTAGTGTCTAGAAGACTCAAACTCAAGAACTCATTTTTGACCCCTTTGCTCTTTTAGGGTTGTAGGATCCACAGGATGGGCATTTTTTGATAGAGCCAATGGAATGGAGCAGCTCCTCTCTTTTCACAATCATTGCATAGTATTCCCCGTGATTCCTTTTTAAGTTAAAACATGTAGGGATTTATAGAATATGATAAAATAGAGAGAATAACGAACCTGAGTTCGGCCAGAATACTCCTGTGGAATTTTCTCCTCGGCCAACAACGCATCTAACATCCTAAAATACACCTGTAAAACATTTTCAATAGTATTAAGTTAGTTCAACCAAAATGGCAGTTAAGAAAGCACTTCTCGAAATAAAGTGATGGAAGAAGTTAAACAAAAATTCAAGTTGAGGTAATAAGTAATCCAGCTACTATATGAAACTTTTCTGTCAGCTGAAAAGATGTTTATGTCTACACAAGAGCTAATGTATACCTGTTGAAGTATGAACCACCTATTTTGGTGAGTGCAAGTCTGCCCATGGTTGAAGAGTTGATAAGCTGCACCGTTTGAAGAAGATTTTGAAGATAGAAGTTGTTGCCGTGGCGTGCGTTCTGTGAGAACGTGGCGGCAGAAGTTCGCCGCAGCAGAAGAAAAGCTTGCCGCGGGGTCCGTTAAGAGAGAGTTCGGAGTGCATCATTGGTCAAGAAATATGTTGTTTACTGTTACTAGAAACACGTCAAAATATATTCCGGTGTTATATATAATTAACTTCTCACAATCAAGGAACTATGATAAATCAATAATATAAGCATTTTGATTAACTTCTCGGAATGGTTTCCATCAAGAAGCAAAGAACATTTTCAACATCCAAGTTGATTTGTCCTGTGAAACATTGGTTCAAATTCAACTCAAGCTTTGGTATTACTAAGTAAATCCAATCAGTTATGATACTTCGATGAGAATCATATGACTCAAACATTGTTCTAAACCCCTTGATGCAAAATTTCATCAACCCAACTCATTAGATGTGTATTTACCCCTTTTTCATCGGCTTTTCCTCTTCTTTTCTTTCCATTCCTGGAGACCCGTTCCAGCTTCCCAAGCGCTTTTTTTTTTTTTTTTTTTTTTTTTGAAGTTAAAGGGATTGAAGTTCGACTGACGATAAGCATGGAGTTTAATAAAATGTAGTAATGGTTATTGTTATTAGCAGTTAAGAGATAATTTGATGAGATCCTTTCCTTCAATAATATATAGTCAAGTCATGTTAGCAAATAATTAATTAAAACCTTAATTTTTTTTGTCAAACTTATTTTAACTCTTTTTAACTTTTAAAAAGAAGAGTAAACAATATTTTCGCCCAAGGTTTGGCCTAAAGACACTTTCCAACCTAAAAAGTTTCAAAACAACACTTTCCCACCCACGTGCTAGATCCATTAGTAAAATTTGCTCTAAAGAAGGGTAAGATGGTTAATTTACATGAAGCCGCAAAAATCAAAATTTATAGCAAGCTTGAGGTTTTCTGTTCAAGCTCAAGCTCGCTACCAAATTCAAGTACTCGAGCTCGGCTGAAGCTCAAGCTAAATCAAAAAATTCTCCAAATGGTGTTGCAACCTAAATAATAATAATAATAATAATAAAAGAACCCATACTAAAAATTTTCTTCAGTTTATTGAAAAAAAAAAAAAACTAATCCGAACAATTTCAATCAAATTTTTACATATACCGTAACAATCAAACCTAACAACTTCAATTACAATACATCAAAACTTACATCTAAATAAAAGTTTAATTTCTTCATTTTTTTCATCATAAATTAAAAAAGAAAAACCAAAACCAAAACCAATGTTTTAAAACCTGGCCTGACTTGGCCGCTTGAATCGGTTCAATCGGGACTTGGGGCCTTCACTGGGCCAGATTAGCAATTTTCTTATTCACCAAAAACCTTAGAAATTGGGACGATGATCGGCGAACAATTGAAGGCCAGAATGTTGGGGCTTTTGAAGAGAAAGGGCTGTTGAGTGCAATGATGGCGACAAAGGTGATTTCTGGTGAGTGAATCGACCGAAAATTGCAAAACTAAATCAGCGGAAACAACGAGATTGGTGAAGCAATCGAGGGAGGGGTGATATGGGTTTTGGTCAAGAGGCCGAGGGGAGAGTTTTCATGGTGATGGGGAGTGTTGTTGCCAGAAATAGGCCTGATTTGCCCTAGTTTGTCGACGCCGGCGGTGGTGTTTGGGGTGTTTTTGCAAGATTTCAAACCTATAAGGACTTATATGTAATTTTAAAAGGTGTTTTTGTTGTATTTCAAACTTTTTAGACACTGGTTTGACCCGCTGGTCAAGCCGATTAAACCAGTCAACCTGAGACCTAGCCACTTTGCTGGGTTTCACCCTAAGTTGGTTATTAAAACATTGACCAAAACCAAAATCATGAATTACTCTCAATGGGAGAAGAAGACGAAGAAGAAAGGAAAAAGTGGAGAAGAGAAAAAATTAAAAGAAGAAACAGAACAATGGAGGAGAAAACAACTTGCTACCATAACTATGACTTTTTTTTAATAGGTACAAGAGAAAGAGAGAAGAGTTGGCGAGTTAAAAGAGAATGAGCATTACTTGTTCCCATAAGGGAGAAAATATTTTTTATTTACATCTCATTAATGTTTTGCGTCATAAAAAGTAAATGACAAGTTGACAACTCAATTAATGTTTTGCCACAACATCCCGAGCCCACCAATGAATTGATTCGTTCTTTGATTTTTTATGGGTGTGTTTGTCACTTTTACAAGCTAATAAATTATCTATACCCTCCAATAGATGCAAAAATAGCATATACCCCTTCTCGAGATTTGAGTTCCCTGAAGCTCACGAGCTTGTTGAGCCGAGTATTGGCACGATCGAACTCGGCTCAACACTATAGTCAATTTGCTTGAGCTTTTCTCAAGCCGCTTATGAGCGGCTCGACTCGACTTACACCCCTAGCTGCTATGGCAGATTTGAGGGGTGGTGGTTATGGTTAGGTGTGCATACGAGCCGAGCCGAGCCGAGTAGTGGCTAGCTTGAGCTCAGCTCGGTAAGACAAGGTGAGAGCTGGAGCTCGTCGAGCTCCAGCTCGGCTCGGCAATTTAATTGCATGGCTCGAGCTCGACTTGGCTCGACTCATCAAGTTTCGAGCCGAGCCGGGCCGAGCCGAGCTCGAGCTCGAGCCAAGGTCGTTTGCAGCTTTTTATGTTTGAAGTATTGATAATGGGATACTGCCACTTTTTTCCTTGGAGTCAGATCGAGGTTAAGCTTACTCAGTTGTCATCTATACATCCTACAACACCTCTGTGGCAACTTATATGATTATTATTTTCCTTGCTGTAGTCTTTATGCTAGGACAATAATTTTATGTCATGTGCTGAATCATTAAATGTTGCCTCATATCTTTACTTATATCATGAAGTCAGTACAGAACTGCAAGTTTAGGCTTGATGGGAGTTGGTTCTCACAATCCATTTGAAACTAATTTACTTTGTCATTTCCCTCACTATTTAGTATCTTATTAACCGTTAATTTTCTAATGGCAGGTGAAATTCAATGTGAGCATCCAAACAATTCATTGTACAACTTCAAATATTTTTTTCTCCATTAACATTAAGTGCAGACTCCACGTAGTCATTCACTTAGCAGTAAAAATTTTGGAGTATTACCCATATGATCATTGATATCTCAACAACACATTGGATCAGCATCAGCCTTAAATATGAATAACTTTGGAGAGCAAAAGTGAAAGCAAGCATATATTTATTGAACATATGGATAATAAGGTGCCCAGATGACCAATATCTTTCATCAACATAGTTCAATTTATAATCTAAAGACATTCCAAAAGCTATAATGTGAAAAGAAACAGACAGAATTTGAGAGTATAACCCATATGGTGGAATTCAAAGTTGACCACAGGGTTAGCATATTAAATTTTTATGTCTGCTCCGATTTTCCCTTGTGATGAGGTTGATCCAATTATCAAATAATCAGAAACTTTAGACAGAATAGCTACCGAGAAACAAATTTTTCAGACCATCTTCCTTCATCAACACCTTTCTTCAACATCCTATGCACATGTAAAACATCCCAAATCATTGAAATTTGCATACAGCAAATAGATTATATTCAATTTTCAGAAATAGTAACACATTATTGCCTAACTCAACAACCACAAAGTATGTTCAAATAGTAACTAATTTCTCATAAAAAGTTTAACATTTACTATCACTAACCTGTCAAGATTCCACCAAAACTTCATAGGATCGGAAGCCGAAACTCCTCATTTGTCTTCTCTTTCTAAACAACAAAAAGGAAAACTATTGTTTTAGTTTCAATAATGTCAATAAATGACTAAATTAATACATAATTTTAATAAAATGGACTATAGAAGTATGAAACTTGCTTTGTAACTTCTCTTGACTCCATAGAGATTGCGACACCAATCACCACCACAGAGTAGCATTTGCACGGTATTGGGAGACAACGATGATCGATAAGTGTCAATAACTTGACTCCCCGCACTGAAAGTTGCCTCCGAAGCTACCGTGGTGATTGGAATGGCAAGTATTTCATGAGCCATCTTAGATAGAATGCGATAGTTTGTTTGATTTACCTTCCACCACTGTAACACATCAAATGAGGTATCATCCTCGTCCCATAACAAACATTTCTCCTTTAGATAAAGATCTAACTCAGATTTCTCATGTTGCACCATTTCAGTTGTCCTAACAAACTGGTAGAACCGTGAACTAGTACGTTTAGGGCGTTGTACATTGTCTCGTTGAACTTTACTGATTTCTACCGGTGGTTCACTGTTGGCAAATTGAGTTTCCGCTGCATATTCCTCATAAATCTCATACAAGGTAGCTTGCACTTCATCAATTTTGTCTTGTGCTTCTTCAGTAGGATACATTTGTGGGTAGGCAAATTGCAACATCCTCATTTTCATCCTCGGATCCAATACAGTTGCAATTGCTATTACGAAATTGCATTCCCCCCAATACTTGTCAAAATTTTCTTTCATCTTTTCCACCATTGACCGAATGAAATCACCATCATCAGAACACTTTTCATCTAGCAATTCTTTTATGTTAACAATTTCTTGCAAAAATAAGTTTGAAGCGGGGTGGTCACTCCCCGATATGACATTAGTTGCCAAGTTGAAGGCTTCCTAAATCTCACACACTTTCTTAAGTTTTTCCCAATCTTCATTTGTTAGGGTAAAAGTAAAGTTATTATCCAATTGAACTAACATTGGAAACACATCTCTATACTGAATTGCAAGTGTCAACATCTGATAAGTAGAATTCCACCTCTTTTTGCAATCAAGTATGAGTTTCTGTTTAGGCAACTGCAACATCTGAACAATCTCTACAAACATAATTGCTCTGGTCTTTGATTGCTTGACATACACAGTCACTATGTCTTGAATGATGGGCTTAATCTGGGAAAGCCCATCCTGAACCATGAGATTCAATATGTGTGCCGCGCACCGCATATGAAACAACCTCCCACCACTCATTAGCTTCTTGTTTCTTCCTAAATTCTCCCTCAAAATCTTGATTGTCACGTCATTACTTGAAGCATTGTCAACCAAGATACTGAACACCTTGTTCTCAATTTCCCATTCAATTAAACACTTATGAATAGTAGCAGCAATCTCAACACTATGCCGAGGAGCCGGTATATGAACAAAATTGAGCACACGCTTCTGAAACTTCCAATCATTATCAATAAAATGTCCGGTGACAACCATGTACTCAAGCTTCTGATTAGAAGAATTCCATAGATCAGTTGTCAAACTAATTTTGTTAATACTCTTAAGCAAATTAACCAATTATTTTGTATCTCATACATAGTCACACAATGTTGTTTCAAAGCAGTACGCATTATCTTCTCCCATAGTGGCATACCACATTTTTGCATCATGTTAAAACCCTCCTCCTCCACAATTGTAAATGGATGCTCGTGCATGAGCACCCAATTTGCAGCTAGTTCTCGCATCAAGTTCATATCAAACTTGGCATCTGAAAATGCAAGTGCAAATCGCATTGAGATATCATCCGTTGAACTGGGTGGCCGAAAAAACAACTGTGTTTGCATCTGACTACCTATTCGCTTCAAACATGATTTCAAATGTCTTGCAAACTGAGTTGTGCTCTTGGTCTCCGTTATTGCAAGCTTTGCCTTACAATGAATACACTCTCCCTTTGTAGAACCATCTGGTAGAACTACCTCTTTAAATTCATTCCAAACCACCGATGTCTTTGGTCGTTTTTTTCCTTTGAAAAAGATTAATTTCCTGCATCAACACCATCACCAGGTGTGCCTGTGGGTGTCGCATCATCATCAGACCAGGTTTCAAAGATATCTTTTACTGGTTGCATTCATGAAATGGAAGGGTGTGTTGGATTGGGGGTGAATGACAGATGCTCCATTGGAATAAACAAATACCTCTGCAAAAAAATATAAAGTCAGAATGCGAAATCAAGTAACTTTGACTTGTTAAAAGTTATCAAAATCCCATAATCTGTTGGTTCAATTATCGAAGGAATTTCATTCTTCAATCTCAAAGTTGCCCCATTAAAGTTTGGAATCATTTGGTTCCCAAACCAAGTTGTCAACCCCAAATAAATGTTTACAGCTATATGTTCAAAAATACGTTGAGTCATGCCAAATGGTGTTCTATTCCTATGGTTCTAAATTCAAAACTTTCCTATGTTTCTCACTATAGGAGCACTGTTGGTGTTCTGTCATGAAGAGAGCTTATTTTGGCTCATAAAGAAACTGGATTTCCACAAAAACAAATATTATAAAATACCTCTGAGAGAAGAGTACTTAAAATATGTTGAGACAAAAGAAAAATTAAATTATAAAATGGAAACTATAGTGCCACGAGTATAAGGAACATGATACGTATTGGAAGAATTAGCACCACGAGAACACAAATACGAAGGATATATGCAGGCAACGAAGGGTACCAAGGATTTAAAGCAACTGGACCATTAGGATATGGAGGAAAACCTCTAGACGTTGACGCATCAGACGTTGATAGAAAACACTCGATATGAATATCAACACTATAAATCCCGCATCTATATCGCCAATAACTACTACAATTATGAACTAGTCATTAAGAAAATTTATATATTACTTGAATATTCATATATAAAAGTCAACAAGTCTCTCAGGAGTTTAAACAAAAGTACATTATTAACTTTGACTTGTTAAAAGTTATCAAAATCCCATCATAACCATCAAAACTCTTCTCTCAGAGGCATTTCATCAAACACATAACAAGTTCTCTGCAAACTTCCAAAAATTAACGCAACTCATCACCCAGCTTCTAATTTCCAAATATCTAGCAAAGTCAACATAAACCCATGAAGAATTTGTAACTAAGAAACAACTAAATAGGGAGGAAAAAAAATAAATTAATGAGACTCACGGCAAGAGACAACTTTTACCCATAACATGTTGTCCTATAGCTTATATATTCTATTTTAAGCTATTCAGCAACACAAGAAGCAGGAAATTAATTAATGAAAGTCTAATTACACTTGCTTAAGTTGAATTACAAATTTGGGTGTCAAGAAACAGGAAAATCTACCTTGTGGCAGCAAGGAAGTGAAGAAGGGAAGACGATGGTGGACAGTAGTAGCTGAAGTTGGTCGTTGGTCGGTAGTAGCTAAATGAAGGCTGGACAATAGTGGTGTCTCAGATCTTGCGATGTGTTTTGGCAGAGGTGAATAGCTGAATGTCTTTGTTTTCGGTTGAATGAATGACTTGATTTCAGATTTTAGGGCAAATATTAATACGCGAGCTTTGCCTCACTGATCAATCTCACGAGCTCTCCTGCTCGAATGATGTCTCGAGTTCTTCGAATAGCTCACGAACAGTTCGAATCGAGCCCAAAAAACTTGACATTATTCACGACCTTGAAGTTGAGCTCGAACTCGTGAACTACTCATTCTCCGACGAGTCGAGGCCGAGCTCGTCAAGAGTCGAATCCGAGTAGCTCATGAGCTACTCGGTTCGACTGCACCCCTAGTTGTGGTTGGCTATGGTGTATGAATTTAATCAAATGAAGGGCAAAGTAAAAAACAAACATTTTTATTCGAAGCTCATTAACCCGGATCATAGTTTGATGTTAAAAACCCTTTAAAACAAACATATACATAAGATTAAACAAGAGTTGTAATCAAATCTTTGATTGGAGGCTCCTTCGGATGTTGTAGCAAAATGCTTCCACTTCACGAATGGAAACCCACACAAAGACAAGAATCCCCACACAATCAATTTGCTAGTTTGATCAAGGAGGTTCAGAGAAGAAAAAGAGGAGAAATTTTCCTTAGAAAATTCTCTCTACAACTTTTAGTTTAAAAGAGGCAAGAGTGAGCTAATAAAATTTTAGGGTTAAGCGCCTTTTTACAGGCAAGCCCTATCCCTAATTACCCTTGAACAATTACAAAAGTGCCCTCCACTAATATCTATTATTTATATATAAATAATTAGACTTTACTTAGTGCCCAAGAAAAAGCCGGTTTGGTATTTTATTATTATTGCTTTAACCGTACAATAATAATTCACTTTTTAAAATGCATATACACCAATATATTATTTAAATAATGATTTATTTATTCATTTTAATATATATATATACACACACACACGCACACACACACACACACACACCCCAATATTTATATTTGAATAAATCAGTAATCTTACAAATTAAAATCCAATATTAAAATTGGGCATAAGCAACAACCTATTAGGCAACAACCTTCAGCAAATTTAATTGCACCGTAAGAATTACCAAAATACCTTTCACCCTAAAATAACAAAAATGCCCATACTCCAAATCTTCTTTGATTTGTCTTTTAAGTGAGTAACCCGTAGGTTTCTTATCATATCGACAGTGGGTAATATCACAATTTACACTAAATCAGTTGTCTCATTACACATGGACCCTGGTTGGCCTCTAGCAACGTATCAGGGTCACCCGATAGATTCAGATTCAACGTATCAACTACCTGTCAACAATATGATTACTGTGTAATCAAATTCTTTCATAATCAATTATCTCATCAAGGTTTGAAGTACAAAAATAATGTCAACTTCAAATATGCTGCATTGACATGTTCGTACTCGGTAATTCAAACTAACGACTTAACAGAACTTGAGCACCAACTCAATTCCACTGTGGCCACAGTTTTGCTTTCGTTTTTGTTTATCGAATTATCCAGTGAGATAATACTCTTGTAATCAAGAGTGATGAATCATATATCGATCTACCACAACCATAATATACTTCTCAATGCAACCAATCACTTACATACTGATAACCCTAAATAGGATTACGTTAGGCCAATGCCAAACTACACTGATATTTACACACAATGCTTTGGTGATCTCAAGTTTGATGATCACATACACCACCATTCATTAGAGGATGTATTCCATAGATATTGGGGTTATCATCTATATAGAATCCTCTGGTTGGTTATGTCTAGTGAACTTGCCAATTGCAAGCATACATGCGTCACACCAAGTTATTAACAAACAACTTTAACATGCAAAATCTGTTACTAACTTTTGATAAAGTCATCCAAAGATATGATAGCCTTACAGTATTATATGTGCCTTTACTTCATAATAATATTAGGGTTACGGACGATTTCTAGAATGACCATCTAATGTGATCATAGGGTTATTACAATCAAGATTTAAAGCACTTGATACCCTTGTCATGATTCTACCATTCTAAGAACATATATCATAACATATACAAAATACGATTTACATAATATAGTTCAGACTTATAACATAGTCAAATTGCCTTTTATTAATATCAACATATTTTACAAGTAGTTAAATGCTACAATTTGATTGACTTTAGGGCACCTACCTTAACATGTGGAAGTTGTGTTGCGACAAGATTAAGGTGTGGAAGACAAGAGTGGGGCTGTAAGGGGGAGAGCGGCAAGATTTTTACAGAGAAACAATGGTGGAAAGGCAGTCGTGCGACACGATTGTTAAAGTTGGAAAAGAGAGGCAGCAACGTCGAGGATGCAAGCAGACGATGGCAGTGAAGACAGACATAATCAAATTATGTGATTGCAAAGACAGGTGCGATTGATCACAATTGATTGCAGTGTGGCGACGAGGTTGCAGAGAAGAAGGCTTCGGCTGAGAGTGTTGTGGTTGTGGCCGAATGATGGCGAATGCCTGCAGATGCACCTTCATAGTCACGAGATGTAGGTGTGACTGAAGCAAGAAGAGACATGACAGTTGTGAACGATGTTAGTGCACCTATGTGTGGATAGGAGGCTATCTAGGATGGTAAGGCTGTAATCGGGCACTAGAGATTGACAAAACCCACTAATGACAACGCCTATAGTATTCAAGGGTCAACGATAACTTCATTTAATTAAAACATTACTTTAATAAAAAATTGGAAGGACAAATTGATAAATTACATCCCTTATATAATTGAGGGTATATCAATAATTTCATATTTAAATAGTGGGTATATAGATAATTGACTCTGTTGACATGACATAAAAAAATAAAAAAAAATATTAAGTTACATAATAAAGGGTATTTTTGTCTTTACAACAAATATACATTGTAATTAACAGATTTTACTAATGAATAATTGAATATGACCTGTGGGTGGGAAAATGTCTTTACGTCAAACCTTGGGTGGGAAAATGTCATTTACTTTTTAAAAGAAATTGGTTTTCTACTCTCATACTACTTCCTCTCTCGTTCTCATTAGTTGCCCTTTAGTTTGCTGTTGGTTCATCTTTCTGCTTCAATTCATCATTCTCGATCATACTGTTGGCATCTACTTCTATTTTCTCCCTTATCTAGTTCTACTTTCTCCCTCATCTTCACCACAATAGCCACCATTATCAATAAATTTTTCATTTGTTGTCAGTTCATCTTTTTCCTTCAATTCGTCATTCTCTGTCAATTCACCAACGGTCGCCAACTTGTTGGCAGCTGTCAACTCGCGGTCATCTCCTTTGAGTTTTTTTTTACTCAACCAATTTGATTTATGTATTGAAGTTTACCATAAGTTATCAGGTTTAATGAGATTCGCAATAGATCCTAACTTTTAGAGAGAAAAATGAATTTCAATATGTAATTTAATTGCTAGAGAAACATACAGTGTTGGTTTACAAGCTGGAGAATACAAAGGAAAGAACAAAAGTTTTTAGAGACTCCTGTGCTGGAATGGTTTGTCTCTTCTCTTCATTAGCATAAACAACGATTATATACAAACATTTTACATCATCATTTACATCACTTAAATACTTACTCTTGCAGAGAATCAAATGCATACCTAATCTACAGAGATATTTCTAAAACATTATAGCAGAGCCACATAATCTTAACTAACACAAAATATGTTAGCTTTTACAATCCTAAAATTCAGCTAAACTACTTGAGGTAGTTGACCAAAACTCTGACACAATAGCTTCTAGATCAGCTCTGAACCTCGACCTTTTCAGGTTGCATATTGCATCAGATTGCATGCACATTAGTTCGCATGCAATCCAGCTTGCATCGCTTCCAGGTCGCATTACTTCCTAGTTGCATCTGAACACATCTATCTACAACTTGCATCCATCTTAGGTTGCACACATCAGATCACAAGCATTCAGATCATATTAACATGCTTCCAGCAAGATATCACTTGCTTTAACACTTCTCATTGATATCTTTGTTGGAAACACCAAGTTTAAGTCTCAGTTCTTCAAACTTGGATTTGTTTAGAGCTTTTGTCAGGACATCAACGACCTGTTCTTTAGATTCAACAATGAACGATCTTAACTTCTTTATTTTTCTCGGCTTCTCTAACAGCATGAAACTTGATCTTTATATGCTTTGTTCAACCATGAAAAACAGGATTCTTGGCCATTGCAATAGTTGATTGATTGTCACAATAGATTATTGTGGGATCACATTGTTCCAGCTTCATATCCTTCAAGATCTTCCTTAGCCAGATCACTTGATTCACTGCAGCAGTTACATAGATATATTCTACTTTTGCAGTTGATTGAGCCATCGTTTCTTGCTTCCTAGACAACCAACTAAAAACTCTTGAGTTTAAGAAAAACACATAACCAGATGTGCTTTTCATATCTTCAACTGATCTAGCCTAGTCACTATCTGTATATCCAACTGGATTTAATTCTTCAGACCTTTGAACCATATTCCAAGGTCTACAGTTCCTTTGACATATCTGAGTACTCTCTTTATCACCTTGAAATGAATTTCACTAGGCGCGATCATAAATCTAGAGAGTAGACTGATTGCAAACATGATATTAGGTCATGTTACTGTCGAATACAACAAGCAGCCTATCAAACTTTTATATCTGCTTTCATCGACCTTGTGAACTCCATCTTCTTTATACAACTTTTGATTTTGTGCTAGTGGAGTGCTCACTGGATTACAACTCTCTATGCTGAACTTCTTCAAGATCTTATTTGAATATTTCTTTTTGCAAACAAATATGTCATTTGAAGATTGATTTATCTCCATCTCAAGAAAGAATGTCATCTGATCAGGATTGTTTCCTTATGCATTGCTTCCTTGAATTGCTCCACCCGATCAGGATTGTTTTCAGTTATAAGCAAGTTATCAACATACAAGGAGACTATAATCAAACCATCTTCTAACTTCTTCGCATGGAAAGTATGCTAATTAGGGCTTCTAGTATAACCGAGGTTGTATATATATTCATTTATTCGGCTATACCGGGCTTTAGGAGCCTGCTTCAAACCATATAAGGCCTTTTTCAACAATGATATCTTATCCTCACTCCTTTTAGCTATAAAGCCCTCTGGTCGCTCCACATAAATTTCTTCATTCAAGTAGCCATTCAAGAAAGCTGACTTGATATCTAATTGGAAAATCTTCTACTTAAATTAAGCTACCAAAGTAAGGAGAAGTCTGATCGTGTCATCTCTCGAAATTAGAGCAAATGTGTTTGAAAAATCTACTCTATATTGTTGTGCATAGCTTTTGGCTACAAGTCGTGCTTTATGTTTGTTGACTGATCCATCAACGTTTAGTTTAGTCTTAAAGATCCATTTAACTTTAATGACCTTCAAATTTGATGGTCTATCAACCAACTTCCAGGTTTCATTCTTCTCGATCATGCTTAAGTCTTCCTTCATCGTAACTCTCCATTCTTTTGACTTCGTAGCTTCAGAGTAGCTTGTAAGCCCATTATAGCAACATTACACCTCTCATATACTTCAACTAAAGGCCCGATGCCTTTAACTGAAAATTCCTTATCAGCATCTAAATCTTCTTCATCGTTGTTATGGTTCTCAACGACCTTTTTCTGCTGAGGCCTTGCTTCTTCTTCGATTCTTTTCTCTTCCCAATTCTAAACCGACATCTCATCGACTCTGACATCTCTTGTGATCAGAATCTTGTTAGTGTTTGGATTGAAGACTCCATAGGCCTTGGATTGACTGTTGTAGCCAATAAAGATTCCAGTTTCAACTTTTTCATCAAGCTTGGTTCCTTTGCTGGCTGGAACATGTGCATAGCAGATGCTTCCGAAGACTTTGAGGTTGTCCACCATTGGTTTAGCTCTATACCAAGCTTCAAATGGAGTATGATTACTTACAACCTTAGTTGGAAGCCTATTGAACAAATAGATCCCTATACTAATAGCTTCTACCTAAAAGGATTTTGACATCTTCTTCTCAGCCATCATGCATCTGGCCATCTCCATGATAGTCCTATTCTTCTTTTCACTCACTTCATTTTGCTATGGAGTGTAAGGACTACTCAGTCAGTGCTTAATTCCAGCTTCTTTGCATATTCCTTCAAACTCATTTGAAGTGTATTCAGTGCCATTGTCACTCCTAATTGATTTGATATTCAAATCAGTTTGGTTCTCCACTAACAACTTAAACTTCCTAAACACATCGGCTACTTCATTTTTCTATTTTAGGAAGTAAACCCAGGTCATTATAGAAAAATCATCTATGAACAAGATGAAGTATTTGTTTCCACTCAATGATGGAGTTTGCATTGGACCACACATATTGGTGTGAATGAGTTGGAACTTTTCGTAGCTCTCCAAGCCTGGTTTGCTTGGAATGGTTGCTTACTCGATTTATCAAGCTGGCAAGCATGACACAAACTCCTCATTTCTTCTGATTTGTTATATTTTGAATGAGATTTTTGTGTTTCATTTCCCTAAGGCCATTGTAGTGAAAATGGTCAAATCTCTTGTGCCATAGTTTACACTCATCTATACTAGCAGTATGAACCTGAAAACTTGGTTTTTTCCACTCAACGGGAAATTTTTCCCATCATTTTTACCTTTATCAACTCACTACCCTCATTGTCTAGTATCGAACAAGACGTATTTTGAAAACACAATGAGTAACTTCGCTCTAACATTTGTCTGACACTTAACAAACTTTGGCTAATTTTAGACACATACTAAACATTAGAAATGTATTTTGTACCTGTTGGGGTTTAAACAACAATTTCACCCCTTCCTTTGACCTTCATGAAGTCACCATTTCCAATCCTCACTCTGGACTAGTATGATTGATCCAAGTCCATGAAATTGGCGAGGTTTGGTGTCATGTGGTTGGTGCAGCCATTTTCTATCAACCAAGTTTCTGTGTTGATGTGAGTTGCATAGCAAGAGGTCACAAACAATTGCTCCCTCTCTCGATTTTGCTATTTATTTTCGACCACTTGTGCTTGCTACTGTGGCTGGTTTGCTTTATTCTTGCAAGCTTTCTCTGTATGGAGAACTGCTTGTAGGACCTACATTGAATGTTAGGCTTAAACCAACATCTATTCTTTGCATGATTCTTCTTTTTACAATGAGGACATGGTGGATATCCCTTCATTCCATCATTCTTGCCCCACTGATTGTTGGCATTTTCTTTCCGCTTTCTATCTCCAGCAGGCTTCTTGTTTCCTCCCTAAACAAATTTCCCTTTGGATGAAGCCATCATTGCTCCTTCACCGTTGTCTTCTTGTCTCAACAACCTTCTTTGTTCATAAGCTTGTAGGGCATGGACAAGCTCTATAAGGGTAATTCGGGACAAGTCGTTTGAGTCTTCAAGAGATGAAATCTTGGATTCAAATCTCTCTGGTAGACTCACTAACACCTTCTTTACTATCCTATTATCTGTTATCTCTTTGTCAAGAAGTCTGATTTTGTTGACCACATTCATAAGTCGATCAACGTACTCCTTAACAGTTTTAGACTCTTGTATTTTCTGCATTTCAACCTCCCTTCCCAGATTCAGGATTTGCATGTTCTTGGTTTTGTCACTTCCACCAAACTCCTCCTTAAGCTTGTCCCAACTTTCGTTTGCTGTCTCACAAGCCATAATCCTTGTGAATGCTTGATCTGTGACATCTAACTGGATGTGGGACAGAGCTCTTGGAGCTTTTGTTGCCTCTTCTTCATGGAGTCTAATCTGGTTCAACGTGGGATTTGGCCCCAATTGTGGTGGTTGCTTCTCTTCCTCCACATATTGCCAAAGACCTTGGCCCATTAAGAAAGCTTTCATTTTAACAGCCCACATATGGTACTGTTCTCCATTGAAAACTAGTGGAGTAAAAGAGGTTGAGCTTGAAGCCATGAAGATAAATTTTGTGTAAAACTGACAGGGAAGTTTTTACGTAGGAAAGGAGTTAAAAGAGATGTGAGAAGGATGAATCTCAGTAAAGAGAACTGGGCTTTGATAGCAAATGTTAGTTTACAAGCTGGAAAATACAAAGGAAAGAACTAAAGTTTTAAGAGACTCGTTTGTTGGAGTTGTTCGGCTCTTCTCTTCATTAGCATAAACAACGATTACATACAAACATTTTACATCATCATTTACATCACTTAAATACTTACTCTAGCAGAGAATTAAATGCATACCTAATCTGCAGAGATATTTCTAAAACATTACAGCAGCCACGTAATCTTAACTAACACAAAGTATGTCAGCTTTTACAATCCTAAAATTCAGTTAAACTACTCGAAGTAGTTAACCAAAACTCTGACACAACAACTTCTAGATCGACCCTGAACCTCGACCTCTTTCAGGCCGCATATTGCATGCAGCTTGCATTGCTTCCAAGTCGCATCTGAACACATCTATCTACAGCTCGCATCCATCTTAGCTTGCACACATCAAGTTGTAAGCATTATGATCGTATTAACATGCTTTTAATAAGATATCACTTGCTTTAACATACAGTAATGAATTTCAAAACTGTATTGAAACAACTATGAACGTGCCCACCTTAAAGGACCTGAAATATATCTCTACATTATTATTATTATTTTAAATTAACTCACTAAGAATGGATCGATTATGAGGTATGATCCAAGGCAGACACCCGATGGTGGGAATATAAAAGTTTATTGGGGAAGAAAAACGTAAGAAATTTATTTTTAATGATGTTGTTATTGAGAAGAACTGGTAAAATAGAAGTTGGATATATATATTCATTTATTCGGCTATACCGGGCTTTAGGAGCCTGCTTCAGACCATATAAGGCCTTTTTCAACAATGACATCTTATCCTCGCTCCCTTCAGCTGTAAAGCCCTCTGGTCGCTCTACATAAATTTCTTCATTCAAGTAGCCATTCAAGACAACTGACTTGATATCTAATTGGAAAATCTTCTACTTAAATTAAGCTACCAAAGCGAGGAGAAGTCTAATCGTGTCATGTCTCAAAATTAGAGCAAATGTGTCGGAAAAATCTACTTCATATTGTTATGGATAGCCTTTGGCTACAAGTCGTGCTTTGTGTTTGTTGACTGATCCATCAGTGCTTAGTTTAGTCTTGAAGATCCATTTAACTTTAATGGCCTTCGAATTTGATGGTCTGTCAACCAACTTCCAGGTTTCATTCTTCTCGATCATGCTTAATTCTTCCTTCATCGCAACTCTCCATTCTTTTGACTTCGCACTTTAGAATAGCTTGTAGGCCCCATTATAGCAACATTACACCTCTCATATACTTCAACTAAAGGCTCAATGCCTTTAACTGAAAATTCGTTATCAGCATCTAAATCTTCGTCATCGACGTTCTGGTTCTCAACGACCTCTTTCTGCTAAGGCCTTGCTTCTTCAACGATTCTTTTCTCTTCCCAATTCTAAATTGACATCTCATCAACTCTGACATCTCTTGTGATTAGAATCTTGTTAGTGTTTGGATTGAAGACTCTATAGGCCTTGGATTGACTGCTGTAGCCAATAAAGATTCCAACTTCAGCTTTTTCATCAAGCTTGGTTCCTTTGCTAGCTGGAACATGTGCATAGCAGATGCTTTCGAAGACTTTGAGGTTGTCCACCATTGGTTTAACTCTATACCAAGCTTCAAATGGAGTTAATTACTTAAAGCCTTAGTTGGAAACCTATTGAGCAAATAGACTCCTATATTAACAACTTCTGCCCAAAAGGATTTTGACAGCTTCTTCTTAGCCATCGTGCATCTGACCATCTCCATGACAGTTCTATTCTTCCTTTCACTCACTCCATTTTGCTATGGAGTGTAAGGACTACTCAATCGGTGCTTAATTCCAGCTTCTTTGCATGTTCCTTCAAACTTATTTGAAGTGTATTCAGTGCCATTGTCACTCTTAACTGATTTGATATTCAAACCAGTTTGGTTGTCCACTAACAGCTTAAACTTCCTAAACACATCGGCCACTTCATTTTTCTGTTTTAGGAAGTAAACCCAGGTCATTCTAGAAAAATCATCTATGAACAAGATGAAGTATTTGCTTCCACTCAATGATGGAGTCTACATTGGACCACACACATTGGTGTGAATGAGTTGGAACTTTTTCATAGCTCTCAAAGCCTGGTTTACTTGGAATGGTTGCCTGCTCAATTTATCAAGCTGGCAAGTATGGCATAGACTCCTCATTTCTTCTATTCTGTTATATTTTGAATGAGATTTTTGTGTTTCATTTCCTTAAGGCCATTGTAGTGAAAATGGCCAAATCTCTTGTGCCATAGTTTAGACTCATCTATACTAGCAGTATGAGCCTGAAAACTTGGTTTTTTCCACTCAACGGGGAAACTTTTCCCATCATTTTTACCTTTATCAACTCATTATCCTCACTGTCTACTATTGAACAAGACATATTTTGAAAATGCAAAGAGTAACTTCTCTCTAACATTTGTCCGACACTTAACAAACTTTGGCTAATTTCAAATACATACAAAACATTAGAAATGTGTTTTGTACATGTTAGGTTTAAACAACAATTCCACCCCTTCCTTTGACCTCCATGAAGTCACAATTTCCAATCCTCACTCTGGACTGGTATGATTGATCCAAGTCCATGAAATTGGCGAGGTCTGGTGTCATGTGGTTGGTGCAGCCACTATCTATCAACCAAGTTTCTGTGCCAATGTGAGTTGCATAGCAAGAGGTCACAAACAATTGCCCCCCCTCTCGATTTTGCTACTGATTTTCGACCACTTGAGCTTGCTACTGTGGCTGGTTTGCTTTATTCTTGCAAGCTTTCTCTGTATGGCGAACTGCTTGCAGGACCTACATTGAATGTTAGGCTTGGACCATCATCTATTCTTTGCATGATTCTTCTTTTTACAATGAGGACATGGTGGATATCCCTTCATTCCACCGTTCTTGCCCCAATGATTGTTGGCTTTTTCTTTCCTCTTTCTATCTCCAGCAGGCTTCTTGTTTCCTCCCTAAACAGATTTCCCTTTGGATGAAGCCATCATTGCTCCTTCACTGTTGTCTTCTTGTCTCAGCAACCTTCTTTGTTCATGAGCTTCTACGGTATGGACAAGCTCTATAAGGGTAATCTAGGACAAGTCGTTTGAGTCTTCAAGAGATGAAATCTTGGATTCAAATCTATTTGGTAGACTCACCAACACCTTCTCTACTATCCTATTATCTGTTATCTGTTTGCCAAGAAGTCTGATTTTGTTGATCACATTCATAAGTCGATCAACGAACTCCTTAACAGTTTTAGACTCTTACATTTTCAACATTTCAACCTCCCTTCCCAGATTCAGGACTTGCATGTTCCTGGTTTTGTCACTTCTACCAAACTCCTCCTTAAGCTTGTCCCAAGTTTCTTTTGTTGTCTCACAAGCCATAATCCTTGTGAATACTTGATTTATGATAGTTGAATGGATGTGGGACAGAGTTCTTGGAGCTTTTGCTGCCTCTTTTTCATGGAGTCTGATCTGGTTCAACGTGGGATTTGGCCCCAGTTGTGGTGGTTGCTTCTCTTCCTCCACATATTGCCAAAGACCTTGGCCCATTAAGAAAGCTTTCATTTTAATAGCCCATATATGGTACTGTTTTCCATTGAAAACTGGTGGAGTAAAAGAGACTGAGCTTGAAGCCATGAAGACAAATTTTGTGTAAAATTGACAGGGAAGTTTTTACGTAGGAAAGGAGTTAAAAGAGATGTGAGAAGGATGAATCTCGGTAAAGAGAACTGGGCTTTGATACCAAATGTTAGTTTACAAGCTGGAAAATACAAAGGAAAGAACAAAAGTTTTAAGAGACTCGTTTGCTGGAGTTGTTCGGCTCTTCTCTTCATTAGCATAAACAACGATTATATACAAACATTTTACATCATCATTTACATCACTTAAATACTTAGTCTAGCAGAGAATTAAATGCATACCTAATTTGTAGAGATATTTCTAAAACATTACAACAGCCACATAATCTTAATTAACACAAAATATGTCAGCTTTTACAATCCTAAAATTCAGTTAAACTACTCGAAGTAGTTAACCAAAACTCCGACACAACAGCTTCTAGATCGGCTCTGAACCTCAACCTCTTTCAGGTCGCATATTGCATGTAGCTTGCATTGCTTCCAAGTCTTATTACTTCCTAGTCGCATCTGAACACATCTATCTATAACTCGCATCCATCTTAGCTTGCACACATCAAGTTGTAAGCATTCTGACCGTATTAACATGCTTTTAATAAGATATCACTTGCTTTAACATATAGTAATGAATTTCAAAACTGTATTGAAACAACTATGAACGTGCCAACCTTAAAGGACCTGAAATATATTTCTACAATATTATTATTATTTTAAATTAACTCGCTAAGAATGGATCAATTATGAGGTATGATCTAAGGCAGACACCTGATGGTGGGAATATAAAAGTTTATTAGGGAAGAAAAACGAAAGAAATTTATTTTTAATGATGTTGTTATTGAGAAGAACTGGTAAAATAGAAGTTGAAATTAAGTAAATTATTAAACACATACAGTATAACTGTTAAAAAAAAAAGCTTGACAGGAGGGATATATAAGAGGAAAAATAGGATAAAGAAAGCAGTTATTTTTTTAAAATATGGTTTGAAGAGAAGCATGGAGTTTAATAAAATGTAGTAATGCAAGCGTTGGTTATTGTTGTCACAGTATTTGTATCAGGATTATCATCCCATTTCCCATTGCCATTATCAGAAAATGACCCACATAAGAAACACCCCCGATATTTTCGGTACCATTTTCTTTTAGTTTTACTAAGTCTCTTCACATCCAGTAAATCCGCTCATATCAGACCAGATCAAAGTGTTGATTGTGTTGTGTTACCCCATTTCGGTTTCAACCACATTACCTCTCTCTTTCTACTCTTATATCTTCTTCTTCTTCTTCCCATATCATTATTATTTATTCTACAATCTTCACGTTTGCTCGAACTTTTAAATGTTACAAATATGACCCTTAAGGGTGGCACCAGCCAAGCCTGTGCTGCGTGCAAGTACCGACGACGAAAGTGCGATGCTGAGTGCCCTTTAGCTCCATTTTTTCCTCCTGACCAACCTAAAATGTTTGCAAATGCTCATAAATTATTCGGTGTTTGCAATATTTTGAAGATTGTAGAGAATTTAGACGCTAACCAGAAGACTGAAGCAATGCGTTCCATTATTTACCAAGCTGATATTCGTGATAGGTATCCCGTTCATGGATGTTGGGGCATTATTTGTCAACTACGTTACAGAATTTGGCAGGCGGAAGAAGAACTTCATACTGTTCATGCACAACTCGAGATGTATAGACATCATTATCAACAACAGGTCAATTCTATGACGGATGATGTGTCACAACTTGAATTAGGCATGGCTCCTCCCAATAATTCCCTTTCACTTTTCAATCATACTCCACAGCAGCCGGCTTCTTATAATAATGCTCCGCCTTTGCCTCTTTCTCAACACCACCACTCTTATTCTAATAACAACAGTTACAACGACAACAACTCTACAACTTACATGGATTCCAAAGATAATGTTGCTGATTCTATGTGGATTCAACATCAATAAGCTACTGCAACCAACAACAGTTCCAATTCCATCGCCATTCAATCTCATCAATTGGTTGCCTCTCAACCTTTGTCTATTCAGCAAGAGGACGTTGTTCATGATTACGATGAGATGCAACCTTTTTTCGAAACCATTGATGACAGACAGTCGTACATTGATTCGTGTATGATTGTAAAGAGGCTTACTTCTAAAGAGGCTTACGACTCAAGGTAATTGATTAACTTCTTAATCCGAATTCATTCTTGTTGTTTCGGTTCATTGTTGTTTTGAATCTGAAATTGATGGTGGAAATAATTGCTTTGCAGTTCGGAAGAATCGTTGAAAGATACAACACAATCGATTAATCATGTTACAGAAAATGAATTGAAGAGTGCAGCTGCATGCTTCAGTCTGACCAGTGTCAATTGATCAAAAAGGCCAGACGAAAAGACCAGTGCGTTCCATATTCTTTTTCTGCTCAATTTATAAAGTTTTATAGGTTAGATTCCACAATTTTGGGCATATTTTTCATTTTTATTCAATAGAAAAATTTAGTTCTTTGTTAATCATTCACTTATAAAATTTTACATTCTACAGTTTTTTCAATAATATCGTTTCTTTTATTTAGAATTATAACCAAATATTGCAGCTTTTCAATATGACAATGGAATCAAGGAATGAATAGAACAGCCACTGTTGTTCTGGACACATGGTTTCGTGGTAGAAATTAGAAAACCAATTAAAGATATATTACAGACTGAAATCACATTATACACAACAACTAAGATTATTCGAAAGATTAGCAGTAGAGTGCTTTCTCTCAATTACAAGTGGAAGAAATTGGATTTCACATAAGTTCATCTTTTTCTACATAGTTGCTCAATTAAGGCACAATTTATTCACACACCATTAAGCACATTCAGAGAAGCCTAGTGTTGTAGGATCCACAAGATGGGCATTTGTGATAGAGCCAATGGAATGGAGCAGCTCCTCTCTTTTCACAATCATTACATAGTATCGCCTGTGAGTCCTTTTTATGTTAAAACATATAGAGATGCTATAGAATATGATACAATAGAGAGAATAACGAACCTGAGTTCGGCCAGAATACTCCTGTGGAATTTTCTCCTCAGCCAACAATGCATCTAACATCCTGAAATACACCTGCAAAACATTTTCAATGGTGTTAAGTCAGTATAACTGAAATGGCTGGTATATTTAACAAATGGCAGCTAAGAAAGCACTTTTTGAAATAAGGTGATGGAAGAAGTTAACAAATATTAAAGTTGAGGTAATAAGTAATCCTGCGACTATATGAAACTTTTTTGTCAGCTGAAAAGATGTTTATGTCTACACAAGAGCTAATGTATACTGATCCCTCGAGAGCAACTATAGTTTAGAAATTAGATATGCACAAAAGGCATTTATAAGTTTTTGAATTATCATCTGATAAAATGTAGACAAATGAAATATGCTTTGATGTTTCAAACATAACAAAGAACAACACTGTATCAGGTGGTATTGGTTAATCTGATTTAACCCTGTTCTTGAGAAAAATCTCTCAATTCATAGTTTCCATCCTGGAACCCAGAGGGAACAAATAAAAAACAGTAGGTTTATGAAAACATAACCTAAATATTTTTTCAGTAGTCTACAAAGGGAAATACAGTTAAATTGGCTTTGGCCAAAACAAAGTTATAATGCCAATCACTTTAAGCTGTAAGCATGAAAAGCTAAGACAAATTCAATGTTAAGCCAATGAAAGACAACATGAAAAGATGTAAGCATTCTTCTCCAAGGCATGCACTGAAAGTAATTTCAGCCGTAAGAAGTAATTTGCAGCAACATAATAACTGACCTGCATGTCACCAAGTGACTTGCTACACATAGGGCAGGTATAGTGAATTCTAGTGTAATCCTAGCAGCAGCACCACAAGAGTCAGTAAAATTGCCTGAATATTTACAAATGAAATAAAAAGGGGAGAGTTACCAGAGCCAAGTACCTGAAAACATGCTGAGTGCATAAAATGACCACATGGAAGGCCCTTCACTGGAGCATTAGATGAAAAAATGTCTTCATGGCAGATTGGGCAGTTGTCCATAAAACATCGTTGTCGGCATATATGCTTTGAAATAGCCCGCGACATGCAAGCATTGCAGTTCATGCAGTGAAAATAGTCAATGCCCAATCCCTTCCCTAATCGGCACAGATTACAGTAAGGGCAGTGGTAGATTTCCCTGTTGAGGATTTGTTTTCGAAACTTCATAAATTTAGAAATAATAGGCCTATTTGAACTTATCCTAGAAAATAGAAATTTAGTGAGAAGTACAAGAAAAAAAAGAAAACTAATGGTACAACAATATTGGAGAAACTGTGAAAGTGGTATTGATAAGCACGATAATAGATTTGATCATCAGATAATTCTACTGCAAATTCGTCAACCATCAAGGGAAAAGGATACTTAAGTTATTATATCTTTAGAACTGAGCAATATATCAGCTAACCACTGCAAAATCATAGAGCTCAAAAATTAAGGAGGTCAATTAGGCTATCACCTTTCATCCTCAAACAATTTGCAGATCCTGCAATAATATCTTGCCATGGATAATTTTTTGCAGGAAACAGTTGAGCATGCAGGCCCAATTGGCTGAACTGTCAAGCATTTCATGCACATCATCTTCGTTATACATTTCCTGCATTCATATTGAAATCAGCACTAAAGATAAAAAGAAAATGAATAAGAAAATTTCAAAACTTAAAAACTTCAGATGTAACCAACGCTGCTGTTACCTATCCAATGAATGATCTGCTACCTCCTCATCATGGCATCGTATGCATGTATAAAGCTGATTGCAGCAAGGGGCCATGAGCTTACAGTTCCTCTTATAGTGTTTGCAACCAAAGACCAGTTTGACAGGGTCACAATAAGATGGATACTGGCCTGGAATCTCTTCCCCATTACTTGAGATGGATGTTTTTGAATGAATAATCTGTTGTCCAGTGATCCAGCGGCTAAAACAGTGTGAATATTAGTGCCAAGTTTCATTAGCTTCTTTTTATTCAAAGATATGAAAAACATAAATAATTGAAAGCTGCCTGAGTATTTTTATGTCTCCCAATAGCACATTGTCTGGATAATGCAGTTTAAATCAAGCAAGCATCTTGGGGATACATGGCCAACTTCAAGAAAATTGAAAAATGGATATTCATTCTTATGTGGTATATTGAGCTAAATACATGTGGTTCACTGGCTGACCCTAGGACCATCACCTTCAAGAAAACCGGAAAGTGCATATTCAATATAAGTTGACCTGATTTGATTCTGTCCTTTCAATATCACATTTATTGGTTAGGGAAGGAAAATATGGAAAGGTCCCTCAGATTCATGGCTACAACCATCAGTTACATCCTAACTTTTGGCTGACTGGATTTTATCTACAACAGATCACTCATAAACATATAAAAGTCATACCTACCAATTATCCTGACAGTATTATATTCACTACAGAAACATCTGCAAAACAGGAATGTTATTGAAAACATAAAATAAAATAAAAAAAAAAAAATCTTTAAAAAGGGGAACAAAAACCAAAGATTTAGTAGGCGATGAATAATTACTGCCAACCTCATTATCAGGCTTTGGATTATGTATGATTTTTTCTGAGGATCTAATGAAGAATCACGGGATACTTTTCTTATCACAGCCTCTAGCTTTTCTTGACTCATTGCCAGAAGGCTTTCATGATTTCTAGACTTCTGACTTTCTGGAAAAATTTCACCTGGCTTATCAACACAATCCACTACATCCACCACTTCATTGCATCTCTTCTTGTCGCCCTCACTATAATGTTTTTTACATTCTGAAAATTTGTAAATACTTTGTTCTTCATTGGAAAGGTTTTTATCCATATTATACTTCTCTAATGACCCAACATCAGTTCCATCATTACTTTTCTCTGGAAAATCAGTGACTTTGTTGCAACAGTTTTCTCCTTTTCCTATATCAAAAACTTCATTAGAAAGGTATGTTGAGATAACCTCCAAAGGATCTGCAGTCAACGAAGAAGGAACACTTGGCTCCTTTGCCACCTTAGCGATATCATACCCTTCCCACCATTCTCTTATCCATTCTTCAAACATTGTATTTTTTGTGGAATTGAGCCATAAGGACATCACAGTATGCTGCTCTTCCGGTGTTAATGCTGCTGTTAGCCACGGTATCATATCTTGTAGCTTTTCAGCTGATATTCTTCCAAGTAAGCATTTTATGATCTTTTCTTGCTCCTCAATAGAAAAGCAGTCTCTAAATAAGGGCCAAAGTTCAGTTTCTTCACGGTGGACATGTTCTAACAACAATTTATGCATCGATTTGCATTTATCATTGAGCCTGATGCACAACTGTTGGTACTTCAACATTCTCTGATCCTGTATATTTGAATCAGTAATAGAAACTGGAACTTGCAATTCGAGCATCTTATTTAGAATGTGGGATATCTTTCTAAAATGCTCAGCTTCTAATCTGTGGTCAATAGAGTATGAATGGCTAATATTTTGGAGTTTTCCTTTTGCCTCCAAAGCAGGAAATGCAACCTCGTCCTCTGCATCACTGTGAATTTGATATAGAAACTGTATGAGATGGAAGCGCCGCTCGAAATCCATAAGCAACAGAGCATTTTCGGCCAACTGAGCTGAACCAAAGACAAGGTATTCCAAATCTTTCTTGATTGCCTTGTGGAAGAAAAACATGAGATCTATTGGAATTGGTCCATTCACATTAGAACTGCTACAGCATTTTTCAACCGAAAATTTAAGGGAGGGGTGTAATGTCCTTAATGTCTGCGGGAAAAATATCTGTAGACTGGTTGCACCAGAGTAGAATGTTTCATACTTCTTAATAGTGAGGGAATCAGGAGATGAAGAACAAGACAAATATTTGCTCTCCTTGATGGTAGAGATTGACTTCATTTGCCACTGTTCTACTCCTTTACAAGGATGCATATCTGGCTGTAAGGAAGAATATAAAACAGCTTCCTTGATTTGCTCAGATAGGAAAGAACATCTGCTCTTGAACATTTTCTGCAACTCCAGTCCGAAGTTTTCAACAGAGGTCTTACCCGAAAATCCAATATGGAACCATTTATTTAAGAGGTATGCAAATGATTCATTGACTAAAGAGTCTCCGTGATTTATGCTATGAAGAATGAACCTAGATTCATCCTCAGATAAGTGAGCTGAAAACCAGATGATCACAGACTTCAGCAACCCAAATGGCATCATATGAAGTGTCTTGTATAGAAGCTTCTGCTGCATTTCAAGGCTGCAGTTCTGGTGACAGACAGTGAACACCTGATGAGAAAAACATGAAATTAACCCTTGACAGACTGAAAATAAACAAAACTTAAGTAAGTTTTCTTGATGTAAGTTAGCAGCTAAATACAAAGGGATAATAGAAGTTACTAAAGGCATTAAGCAGCTGCTAATTTAACCGCAATGAGTTATGTTATTCTCTCCTATTGCTCTATAAGGTCATAAGGAAATAAACAGTATACCTGTGTCTCTTGAAAAGCAAACTGTTTGCTGATCTCCATCACAAAAGTCTCCAGTTCACAGAAAAGCTTCTCCACATACATGCACATGGGTATACCATTTTGAATATAGCTGTTTAATAACTGCTGTAAACTTTCAACTCGAAATTGCTCTTTAGAAGGAGACAGACAGCAAGCTGTAAGTTCATTGAATACAGGATAACAAAAATTTTCCAGTGCAGTGCTGTAAACCAGAAAATAAAAAATATGAGAAAGAGTTGTCCTACTTGGCACTTAGGAAAAGCATATTTGAGTAGTAACAGGAGTTGCTTCACCAACCATATTAATTACCTGTAGAAGATTAGAACATCAACAAAGAATTTTAGCTGGAAAACTATTGAATCTAGATCTGAGAAATCATTTGAATGTTTTATTTGATGTAGTTTGTCCAGAATTCCTTCCAAATCTTTCCTTATTGCTCTATGCCAAAGCAGAATACCATCAAGTTGATTGTGTCCAATGTTTGTTTGTAGACCATATGCTTTCTTCTGATGCCAACTTTCTCCACAATACCTCTTAGATGAAAGCAATATCGGTATGCTTCTCATTTTTTCAGATTCATGAAATTTTTGTACTCCTTTTCCGTAGGCCAAAACATAAGATTGGCTATGTTTATCAAGCCAAGAAATTATGACCTACAAAAATATATATAAACTAATCATACTGTGGAAGATGATTCGAATCAGAGTGAGGAATTGAATTCTGGGTCTACCTCTTGCACTGATGTTTCTTCAGGTACAATTTCTTTCAGACAATTTTTGACATTTTCTTTCTCATCCTGTGAGAGAAATGATATCATCCATGGAAAAAAAACCTCCAGCAATATTACAGGAACAGTGTATAGAAATTCGCAAGCAAGCGAAGCTTGCTCTTTAGGAGAGAACTCCTGTATCAGCAAAGGAAAAACCTGCAACCCACATGCAATGTGTATTAACGCACACAACAGTGTGAGGTTATATTAAGGACTATTTATATTGTATGCTGATAAGCATATTTGATAGAATGAGATTGACATCACTCAATATAAATCAACAGACAATCTGCTAAAACTGACCACAGTCATAACATATAAAGATTTGCAACTTATTAAAACTGTCCAGTAGTCGGTCTCTATTCCTAGTGACAATATATAAAATAATCTGGCAATCCAAAGAAATCTCCTGAATGAATTTGTTATCCTTTAGAGATCATCCATTATATGGGGAGCGATAAAACAACAGCTAGTCATGATGTCGCTTTTGGGTTTCGTTATAATCTTTTTTATGTTTATTTACGTTGATTTTGTTGCTCAAACACCAATACTGATTACTGAGGTTTTTAAGATTGCTGAACTTTAACCAAAACTGATGTTATCAGCCAAGGGACTCTGCTTGAATAGCTGAATTTCTCCAAGCCGAAAATTTCCCTCAGTATTGAAATTGAATGAGTTCTATATCATCATTTACCCCATTTATTTCTACTAGATGTTAGCTGCATAAAAGGTCTCCGATTATTAGTTTAGAAAATATACCTCAACTTCAACTAGTTTAATTTCCCCATTCACTCTATAAATTTCTATTCCCCATCATAAGCTTGCTGCATTCAAGGCTCTGATTGTATGTAGCTTAAGGCTTTGAATCCTGTTATTTTCATGCAAGTTGATAATAACTGTTATCATTATTTGATTTACCTCTTCACGAATAGATATAGGCATTGTAAATTACGTGAGTTCCCAATCAGAGTTTTGGGCAACTTCATCAGTGTTACTATAAATGAGTGGGTGGAGCAGTTGGTATTTTGCCATTGAAACATACTTTTAGCACTACCGAATCAGATATTCAGATTCTACAAATTATATCAAGGGATGATCTTTGCCTATAATGGACTCCTAAACGAGAATTGTATTCCTCTTCTTTCAAGTTTTGAAAGCCAAAGATTATTATTATTACATAAAATCATTGTTTTAGAGAAGTGTACTAGTAATGTCCAGTTGTCCAGTTAAATCGAAAGTTTATCCAACTTAACTAACCAAAACATAAATAAGCTAATAAGAGGAACACATTACTGGAATAACTTAATTTAAGAAAAGATTACTGGAATAACTTAATTTAAGAAAAGACATATAATGGAAGAAAGTTCCCTAACTGAGCAACATTATCAATGGCAAAAATAGGTGGCTACCTGTTCTTCTTCTTTCAGCATGTGCTCACATATGAAGGCCCGGATGGTGCTGATATGAAAAACAACTTCTTTAAATGACTGGGACATATCTTCATTTCCCTCCAGTAAACCATTCAAGCCATCGAAAACAGAGTCAAAGAGTGCATCAATGCTCTCATGCTCCAGTGAATATGTAGACGCCACATTTTTAATATGTACATCTAGTGCTAAAAATATCACCTGCCAAGAGAATTTCAAGTTTAACTCGTGGAACCATGGGTTTTTACATGGAGTACAGAACAAAACGAGAAAAGTTGGAAAGGATAAGGAATGTTAAAAGTTCACTTTTTTCTCTTTAATACAACTAACAGCCAACTGTCTGGAACTTTTGGTAAAGTATGTAAACTAGTATATCAAACTTAAAGTAACTTCCAGAATATACAGAAATATCGACATAATAATTGGAACAATTCCTAATCATTGACTACTAAGATAAGCAGGGGTAGCCTCCAACTTATAACTATTAGTTAATGGAAGTTAGTCAATGAAAAAAGTCAATTTCTTGGGTACTTATAGCATATCATCGCAATCAAATGCATGGGCCAAAGGTTTTTCTTTTGGAGAGAAAAGAATAAATAAATAAAATTCAAATGCTACCTCCCTCTTAAACATTTACAAAGTACAATTCAGTGTCTTCGGTAAAACCCTCACCAGTTGTTCCTTCATCTGATCAGTTGCTTGTAAAAAATGGTTGATTTCTTACTCATAAAAAACACAGAAAGAAAAAAGTTTTTTTTTCTTGGTTATTTTGTTTAAAAAGTCGGGTTAATATGAACACATAGATCAACTTTAACAAAACTCTTTACCATAAAGTGTTTCGTTATGTTTTTTCTTTTTTAATAATTCTCTCCATACTTCAGATGCAATCATAATCCTTTAACTTTTGTAATTTTTGAAACTGTTTTTGCGAACATCTGTTAACATATAAACAAACGAGAACTTGTTTAAAATAGTTTCTTTGAGAAAGATAAATTAATGGTCTCTAAGCATTATCAAAAGTTGAGGAGAGGTTTTCTTTTATCAGTAATTATTGAATTAAAAAATAAACGCATTATCGAAGTTCGTATTAAAAAAAAAATAGTTTATTTATTTTCATTTCCTTTAGTTCCATTTTCTCGGGAACCAAACGGGAAGAGTATGCAAAAAAAAAAAAAAAAAAAAACACGTGTAAGTTAAGCTGACCTCATCTTCGGTGGCACAGTGATACTTATATACAAGTTTCAAGAACTCGAATCGCCGGTGGAGCGTAGTATGAGCTCACGTCGTAGGAGGCACGCTCCAAAGCAGTACGCCATGCGACGGAGGTCGAGAGCTCGGCGCGTAGGGCTTTGTGGAAATAACGAGCAAAAGAATGGGAGCATCGGCGAGGCGAATTGTGGACAAGGACTCGGCAACAGGCAATGCCTCATCCTCGTCCTTGTCGTCGGAGTTTCCGGAGAATCTCCACCGTCCATGAACCGACAGCATCAACGCGTGAAAACGGAGGGGAAGGTTTCGCATTGGAAATGCTACTGGATTTAACACTCTATCTGTGTCTAGTTTAGTTCTTCTTCGAAGAGACTAATAATTATTTAATTTTCTGTATTTGGTTTTGATTATTGTTATTGCCACGGAGGGTGATTGAGACGTTATACCCAACGGCCGACGGTTTCATGTTCGGTTTGACTATGGCTATTATACGCGCCTCCAATCACTCCAAAACGGGTAGTCAAATTGGCCAGGCTCCGTTCTAATTCGGACCTTACCAAAAACCTTTTATTTCACTTCTTCTACAGGATAAAAACTAATGTTTTAATATTTTTACGAATTTGTGGTATTTTAATAATATAAAAAATATTCCATTAAAAAACCTAATTGATAAAACATGAAAATGTTGGTTCCAAATTCGGGCCAAACCGGGTATAGCAATATGGGAAAAATTGGTTCTTGATTATTGGAGAATAAACGTAACGCGCTAAAAGAGAGCGTATATAAACAAAAGATTTTGCTAATTTATTTAAATTTCCCGCCATGTGGCCCATGTCAATATTTTATTTTCATTAATAATAAGCATAGATAGATTTGGAAGGAAGGCTGTGGGTATGAATGAGGGGGTTGGTTTGGGATTGAAGAAGCGGCAAGAGGCAAGAGCCAAAGAGAGCATAGTCCACGCCGTCCGTATCTTGTCCTCACGTGAGGGTTTAAATTGGGTCAACCGTTGTTATTTGCAACCTCTTCTGTCGTTACTCGCGCGTGGCACCCTCACGTGTTTTCATGTTGCTTCCACGTTCCCTGACCTGCTTAGCCCACGTGGACCTTCCTCATCACCTATGTGACTGGGCTTTTATTGGCCCACCATAACCCAATGTAATAACCGTATATAACATGTGGTTATACCCGTATACCGTATTTCTTTTTCCTGCCATTCCAAGCCATTCTAAAGCATGGCTCAAAGCTGTTGTGAAAAGACAAGACGGCATCATTTTTGGTTAAAAAGAAAACTTTTTCGATAAAGGTGCGAAATTCGTTTTTTCTGTGGTGTACCAAATTGGGAATAATGTCAGCACGTTAGTGGGCCAATCCCTGGCCCGACCCGAGTGGGAGACATAAAGTATGGGACTAACCGGATTCAAATTTAAAGCCCAACCAGGAAAAAGGGGCACCAAAAGGACCCAGTGAAATTTTGTTAATAATTCTCTTTGAATTAAAGTTGAAACATCTGATTGCTTATACAAAATACTTGTGCAGATTATATCAAAAAGAAAAAGGAAACTGAAACCAAATTCTTTATATTGATAAGAAGAGATGAATGAATAGTGAATACTTGTGATCAATTCTTGTTTGGGCCGTAGTTCCAACTTTGATATCTTAGGAGGGTTGGCCCAATTATCCAATTAGCATTGTCTTTGTGCACAAGATATTGCCTCAGATAACATGTTACCTCAACGTCTGCAAAATCCAGGGACTGAAATGTAGTATTTTTGAAGTATTGTCCTTGACCAGAGTTAACTAAAATTATAAGGATGAAAAAAAAAATCCTCATAAGAGAGTTTGGAGATTTTGCTTTGAGATCGTTTTCCACACTGCTTAGCAAAGCCGTGGGCATGCATTTAATATCCCATGTCTTAATTGTTTAGGTAAAATTTGTAAGGTGTGACATACCACCTCGGTGAGGACTCCATGGCCCAATGGATAAGGCGCTGGTCTACGGAACCACAGACTCTGGGTTCGATCCCCAGTGGAGTCGTATTATGCAAATATATTTATTTAACATTTTCTTTAATCTTTACACCGTTGATTTTGCATTCCAAATGTGTTGGAGGGATAAACTAATTGTTTATGCTCTAATCTTATGATTCGCTCTTAAGCAAAGCATCTACTGTCGTTCACGTTGGCTAAAGTTTTAAGAATAACAAACCACAAAGAATCGCATAAAATCTTTTAGAAAATTCAATAGCCTTCTGACATCCAATGAGATCACCAGATCCAAATCACGAAATCATTCTGTTTTATTCTTTCGATCGGATTGGTACAACCTGGACCCGTTTAAAATAACTCGCATGTGGGTTAATGAAAAATAAATTAATTAATAAACAAAATCTACCATTATTATGCATGTGTATGAAATAACATATATATGTATATATATAGTACAACAAAAAGCAGAACTGAATGTCGAACACAGGACATGGACAGCCTAAACGCAAAATGGATAGCTACGGTGGCCAGCATATGGATTCAGTGCAGCACCGGTGCATCATACACCTTTGCCATCTATTCTTCCACCCTTAAATCTACACAAGACTATGACCAATCTACGCTAGCCATAGTCTCAGTCTTCAAAGACATCGGTGCCAACGTCGGCATTCTCTCAGGCCTCCTCTACTCCTTCATCACACTCAAACACAATATCCGTTTCAAGTTTCTTCGCGGGCCATGGGAGGTCCACTTGGCCGGTTCTATCCTATGCTTCATCGGCTACTTCTTCATGTGGCTGTCAGTGGTAGGACTGACTCACAGACCACCGCTACAGTTGATGAGTTTGTATATGTTTATGGCGGCTCAAGCACAGACGTTTTTTAACACGGCTAATATTGTAACTGGTGTCATCAACTTCGGTGATTACAGCGGAACAATTGTGGGTATCTTGAAGGTATGTATACACAAATCTGTCACGTAATTAGTCTATATATTCTTGGGTTGTTTAAAATGGCCCTGCCCTCCTATTTAAACATTCAACCAGTACACACACGTGATCTGAAGAGCAGAGACTTTGCTTCTGTAATGTCAAGTCACAGGCTTTGGAAGATCTGTTTTGTCCTACACAGCCGAGCTTAATTACCACTTCAGTACTTATTCTTATGTCAGGTTTATCATATAGAATTTGATTAGTATAAGAATTTGAACATTTTGTTGCCACTTCTCTTACTTTCACGCTTTTGCATTGAACTTAATTTGATTGATTCTAGCTTCCTGGGGGCAGGGCTTTCTTGGTCTAAGTGGAGCAGTGCTAATCCAAGTGTATGAAACTATATGCAAGGGCAATCCGAGCACTTACCTTCTGATTCTTGCACTGTTGCCAACTTTTGTCTCCCTTTCGCTCATGTGTCTAGTAAGCATCAATCAGACAAACTCAGTTGATGATAAGAAGCACTTGAATGCTTTCTCTGCAGTTGCTCTCACCTTGGCTGCCTATATTATGATAATTATAATTATGGAGAACATCTTTAGTTTTCCATTTTGGGCTCACATCAGTACATCCATTATTCTGGTGCTGCTACTTGCCTATCCTTTGAAAATCGCAATCACAGCACAGAGGGAGAATACAGAGAGATTTGAACAAACATTTTATGCGGAGAGGAGTCCATTCGTGGACTACCCTCACCTTGGGACAGCGACATCCCCCAGGTTTTCGACAGAGCAAGATTCTTCAGCGTATCATGAGCTGCCCGGTGATGCATCTGAAGTGAAGCATGTTTCTTGTGATAGAAAATTGCCAGTTGAAGAAGACATGAATCTCTTGCAAGCAATGGGCACTGGAAACTTCTGGCTGTTGTTCATTGCCATGATTTGCGGAATGGGCTCTGGGATGGCCACAATAAATAATCTCAGTCAAGTAGGAGAGTCTCTTGGTTACACAACGATTGAAACAAATTCTCTAGTCTCTTTATGGAGTATATGGAATTTTCTTGGCCGTTTCGGAGCCGGGTCCGTTTCAGATATATTCCTGCACAGAAATGGGTGGGCAAGGCCATTTTTCACTGCACTTACTCTAGCAACAATGTGCATTGGTCATATAGTTATTGCTTCCGGCATTCCTAAAATCCTGTATGTGGGTACAGTTATAGTGGGTGTTTGCTATGGTTCCCAGTGGTCATTAATGCCAACAATAAGTTCAGAATTGTTTGGTGTTGGGCATATGGGAACTATATTCAACACCATAGGCATAGCAAGTCCTGTTGGATCTTATATTTTCTCTGTAAGAGTAATAGGATATTTTTACGACAAAGTGGCAAACGGTGAAAACGACTCTTGCTATGGCACACATTGCTTCATGTTATCTTTTCTGATCATGGCATCTGTTGCTTTCCTTGGATGTCTTGTTGCCTTCCTGTTGTTCTTTAGGACAAGAAGGTTCTATAACCAAGTAGTTTTCGGAAGGTTGCAACATTCTTCAAGAACATGAAAATTAGCTGGGAGATAATATTGGCCAATAAGGTGGTTTGGTATTTTGTGCACAAATGAATTGGAAAAATAAAAAGGAATTCTAGATCTATAGTGTTGACTGTTGAGTTTCAGTTTATACATAAAAAGGCATTTGTCTTCAAAATTGTAGAGGGAGAGTGAAATAGGCTAAATTTCTATAAGAATGTGTTCTTGCGGTTGTATCGTATAAATTTACCTTAATTTTATTTAGAATGTTAGCGGTATGATTAACACTTGAGCAAAGCATCACTCGGGGTCAGGTTGATTCAAGTTTTAATATTGAATTTAGAAATAGTTCTTTTGTTTTTTTTTAAAAAGAAAAAAGAATTTTTTTTTTCTTTGAGCTTCGCGCTCAAAGCGAAAGCAAGATCTTGGAGCAAGAAAAGGTATCGAACTGTGGAAATCCCTGGGTAAAGCACATCGCTCTCTCCAGGAGGTTGGCCGCCTATCCTAGATCTTCCCATTTTCAAGAAGATCCCGGACCGACAAACTGGAAAAACTGCTATTGCTACATAGAAGATGAGATAGAAAAATGATGAAAGAAGATCACTGAAAATCTTTTAAAAACAGTCAAAAAAATTAGAAAAGCAAATTATATTATATTTTCCGACATCGAATAGGATCACCAGATCCAATTCCAAATCAGTCAGCTTTATTCTTTCTGATGATGATTCTCGTACACCAAATGGAGAACCTAAACTAGAAGTGGATAGCAACGGTGGCCAGCATATGGATTCTATGCAGCAACAGTGCATCCTACACCGTCTCAGTCTTCAAAGATATCGGTACCAACGTGGGTATTCTCTCAGGCCTCCTCTACTCCTTCGTCACACTCAAACACAATATGGACCATGGGACGTCTATGTGGCTGGTGTCTGTTTCATCGGGTACTTCTTCATGTGGGTCTCAGTGGTGGGACTGATTCACAGACCTCCGCTGCCGTTGATGTGCTTCGTTATGTTTATGCCGGCTCAAACTCCGGCATTTTTTAGCACAGCTGATGTTGTGACTGGTGTCATCAACTTTAGTTATTACAGTGGCTCAATTATATGGGTATCTTGTGTGTATCTGTTGTGACACACATCAGTCACATAATTAGTCTTCATTCTTGGGTTGCTTCAAATGGCCCTGCCTTTTTTATTTTATTAGGTGATCGCTCGATTTTGACACCAACTACTCGCACGTGTGAAATGCTAAAAAGGCTTAGAAGTTACACGTGATATAAAAAGATCGAATTAGATAAAGGGTGAAGAGCAATATTTAAAGTGATTTGAATGCTCAAAAGCGAATCCTACGTCCACTACTATTGTATTAAAAAGAGAGAGATCAGGTCGCATTCAGCAAGCTGAGTTACAGTGTAGAGTGAGAATACAAAAGAGAGAGAGAGAGAGAGAGAGAGGGCGCTATTTCAGCGTAAAGTTGGCTAATCCCCCAAAAATGAGAGGGAAGTCCTCCATTTATAGTGGGAGAGTTCAAGGTAATGATTATAAAAGCTGTAAGTGGGTAGGTGCCATGCAAATCCTTCCCTGTGTCCTATTGATTACCTGCCCGAGGGATTTTCTCGACTAAAGTAGAGCTTTGACACGTGGGCGATCTCCAGCCGCTGGCTGGCCTGGCACTCACCTGCTGTATTGACATGAGCCATACCACTTGCGCTAGGCGCGACGTCAACCCAGCCTTTTCAGGCATATCAGAAGTCTCCTAGTTTTTAAGGTTTAAGGATCGAACCTTGGTAACTGCATAATTATGCCATGATTTGACATGTCCAAATGACGCCTGGTCGAGCCGACCTGGCTACAAGGAGGTCGTAGAACATTTTTAAATGAGCGACCTGAGATGGTCTTCTTCTGCAAAGTCGGCGACTTGGATTAGACCCTACTCAGTACCGTATCGATGCGCCTCTCATCTTAATCGAGGCCAGTGACCTGATTATACTTAGCATATTTCTACTAGAGGCAAGGAATCACAGATCTCCGCAACAGACATACGACGAAGAGTGTTCTATTTTAATGACCGCTTTAGATGTTTATCCATTGAACTTGACAGCTAATCCATTAATGAAGTGTCCTTTATTCTAACGAATGTGTCCTGTGCGCAATAAATGCCAGTCATGCTCATTAAATGCAAGTCATGCTGAAACAACATTCCTTATCAGGGCATTAAATGCGGATGAGAGCTCATTTAATGTGGAGGAGAGAATCGAGCCGTCGCCGATTATTTCAACGGAGAGATACGACGATTGAATTTCTTGAAGCGTGGTGGTTACTCTTTCTTGCTGATTGATGACACGTGGTCATGATCAACAGCCAAAAATGCATTCCGTCTAAACGTTGCTTGGCCTCGGAAATCCCAATTGCCGTTTCCTCCACTATAAAACCCCAGGTTCTCTTTAAACAATGTCACAACACTTACATTTTTAGAAAAAAAGCAAGGAGCTCTCGTGAGACCAGACTTTCAATTTTTTAAGTTGGTGTGCATTTTCTGTTTACAGCAAGAAGTTTGACCCCCACAGCCAAAAGAAAAAGGTAAGGAAGGTCCTTCCATTGCTTTTCTTTTTTCTATTTCGTTTTTTTTGTTTCGAGTGTAGTTAACCAGTCGATAATGGCAGGTTTATGTAAAGAATAGGTTTTTAGGATACAAACCATTGGGGATGGTCCCCAAGGGTTTTTAGGGTTTTGCCCTTCCACGTCGTTGTACAAAATTTTGTACGAAGACTGAGTAATCTCCACGTGTCCCCCTTTTTCAAACCGTTGAAGACATGGACCCTACAACGACTAGATCGGATGAGGGGACAAGCTTGCAAGCACAAGACGCCCTAGTGGATCTTGCGTAAGAGATTCTGTCGGTACTACCCGAGGCGAAATATAGGAGGCAGTAGACCAATACGCAATTAGCGTGGACGTCTACGGGTATTGGAGGCATACTACTTGGAATCTGCCAGAGGGAATGGCTGTGATCTCCGAAGCTATATTCAAGTGTGGAGCACTAATTCCCTTCCATCCCTTTATTAGGTTGATCCTTAATCACTTCGAGGTCGCACCTTTACAACTGACGCCTAACGCATATATGATAGCCATGGCTATGTATATCGCGTGCGCCGAGTGTGGCCTCAGCCAACTGACTACGCTGGAGCTCGCTTGCTCGCACTATTTAAAGAAGAGCAAGGACAAAGATTCTTACTACCTCTCAAGGCGACCCACGATCGAGGGAGGCATTTACAATTACCCTAGCAATGTTGGGGCATACAAGACCAAGTTTTTCTTTTTTCATTATGATGGCATCTGCCACTTTAGGGAGCCGAGTAGGTCTTCCCTTTATTATACTTGGTGAATTTTTCTTTTCTTTTTGGCTTTGCTTTCTAACGATCTCTCTTATCTCTTCGCAGGGAACAAGTCGACTAGGTTGATAGATCTTTCTGACCTCTGCCAAATAGTTTCATTTGGCACCCTGCCAGATTACTGTTGCGGCGTGAAGCGACTCGTGACAACCGCGAATTTGAGGAAATATGGCTTCTTCAGCCCTAAAGCGAACTTGGAACCCCTACCTCGTAAGTATCCGTAGTCTTTTTAGATTTTACTTTTGCATGCAGCGAACCCTTTACTAACAGTACCTATATGCAGCAAATATGCTGCTAGAGTGCCGAAATTGTTGAGAGAGAGAGTGTTCGTTTTTCCCTTGGTCGACGCCACGAGACCAGTCGAGACGAGCCCTAGCGACATCCCTACCCAAGGAACGCAAATGGGGGTGTAGCCACCCACCGAACAACCAGTTGAAACTGCTCAGCCCGCTGCTGCTCGCCCAAAGCAGAAAACCATGGCCCAGAAGGCCAAGAAAAGAAGGGTGTTGCAGCCCAAAGAGTCAAAGTCCGAACCTGAGGGCTTGGGGGTGCAACCTGAGAGGTCATAGCCTTATCAAGCTCTTCGCGTTGAAGGGAGATCAAGGCGCGCGACCAGGGTTACAATTCTCCCTAGCCGTTCGTAGAGAGGACAAACCGCGGCTCCCAGGAGGAGAGAAGGCAAAGGGTCAGCTAGTGAGGTGCCCTCGACCGCAGAAGTTGACACGCTAGTGTTGGACTCCATGGGTCAGCTTCCGGAGCACCTGTAACCGATGGTGTTCACCCTTTTGGAGTGCTAACTTGCCAAAGTTTTTGAAGAGCTCGTGGCCTCCAACCCTACGGACCTGATGATCAGGGCGGTCCAACTGCAAAGCCAAGTAAAACGGTTCGTCCTTATCGAAGACTTTCCAATACTTACTCTTATTCAAGGAGACAGTCTAACACTTGCTTATTTCTTATGCAGTCTTTGCTTGCCTTGCACTTGACCCAACAAACGACCCAATTGGAAGCTGCCGGGGGACTCTTCGAGTTGAAGGAAGAGAATGTGTAGCTGAAGTAGGACTTGGCAGCTGCGAAAGAAGAGCTGGACTTGAACATCGTCTAGATAAATCAATACACGTCGAAGAGGAACTCTGCTCTCTACACGGTGGAATTCCAGAAGACCGATCTGGAGAAGAGGGGAGAGGAGCTTAAACAGCTTCAAAGGACGGTGGCCAAGCTCACTAGAGAGGCTGGCAAGAAAGAGGCGGAGTTGCGAGCGAACTCTAAGTAGGCCTTGCGGGCAGAGGAAGAGAGAGCTTGGTTGTGGTAGACTTCTAAGAAGTAGAGGAAAGCTCTTGAAGTGGACCTAGAAATGTCCCAAGGGCGGGTCATTTCTTTAACTAAAGAGATGAAACGACATGAGCTGGAGATCGAGAGAAAGGCTACTGACTGGTCGATCCAGTCAATTTATGCCCTTAAGCCAAAGAACCCAACCATAGACCTTACCGACCTTTCGGAAGATTACTAGAGGATCCTTGCCTATATGGTGTAAGCCGATAATGAGGCAGATTAAGGGCTTTATCCGGAAGATGATCATCCGAATGAGTATGTTCTAGAGGACCCAACATCTATCCAAGAGGTCGGCGACCAGCCTGGAGATACCG